AAATATCTTCGATTATTAATCATACCACGAGTTATATTTAGTGAGAAAATATAATGAATTTTAGGAATTAAAAAATTTGTCAGATTGACATTTAAAATTAAAATGTGCTTTAAAATATAAAAAGACTTTAATAAACCTTATTTATTCAAACTTACCTTAATTTCATTATCGTTTACACCAACCCATCGATCTTTTAGAGTTTATAATTCATTATTTTATTGATATATATCAAATACAGAATTTAAATGACAACAGATGTTAAATCAAAAAAAGTGTCAAAATTCTTAGTAACGTGTAAACAAGATGATAAAAATTATTGCCGCTGTGATAAAATACGTCACTATGGAATACTGGCATTTTATTGGTTCTAATATTAATGAATTGTATTGTCACCCTAATATAACAAGGTTTTATGTAATCCACCCTTGACATACAACTTGAAAATAACTCTATATATATGTATACATCGAATATACATTCTATAGAATTATTTTTAAGAGGTATGTGAAGCGTATAATCCTGTACAAACATAGACTTAAATTTTTCGTTTTTTTTTAACATACAACCTTGTTTTATTAGGGTGACGATATACAAATACAATACAAAATTTTAAACGAATGTCAAACGATGCTGCACTGAAAGAAATTTATGTTTCATATATGGACTACCACATACATTGCTAAAACAAACATATAATATATTTACCTTAACCATTTTTATATTTAGTTTTAACATATTATGTTAAAACTAAATATAATATATGTTTGTTTTAGCAATGTATGTGGTAGTCCATATATGAACCACAAAACATTGCTAAAACAAACATATATTTCTTTCAGTGTGTCAATTTCTTTTCAGACAGATCTGTCACTTTTCACACAGAAATGTCACTTTACATTCGTGTTTTGCCTTGCCAATGAAAAGATTCATTTTCTAAGCAACGATGCCGATACGAAATGTGACTTTTACATAGTGGTCGTAGAAAAAATATTATCTTGCATATAAAAATTCAGTGGAAATTCTTAATTTAACAAGACCCTTAGGGCCGCAAGCAGAAACGTTGATTTATTTATGACAACTGATTTAAAAACAATTAAAATAAATAGGTAGTTTTATCACAAAAGAGAGGAAGGCAGAAGTCTTACTCGACAAATTTTGTTCAATTGCACAGCTAAATCGCGCACGTTATTTGTGTTTTACGTTGCAAGGAAAATACTAAAAACTGGTTTGGTACTCGATTTCGTTTGATTATTCCTTATATCATTGATTAAGAAACTCGGCGCTTAAATGCTTATATAGCTATGTTAGTGTGTGTATTTTATCTAAGGGATCATGGTGAATTATTGCGTTTTTAATTGTAAATAAAATTCAAGAAATAAATCGTTGCGTTTTCATGTTTTGCCAAAGGATCCAATTCGGTAAGTGCATTTGTTGGTGCAGAATTAACTATTAATAACTTTACCTAATATAATTTATATTTAAGTTTGGACATTTTTAAAAAATTAGTAAAAAATAATTTTTGCACAAACATAACCTTAAAATCAACCATTTTTATATTTCTCTAAAAAAACTCTAAATTAAAATAATCCTGTCTAGATGAAATTATTAGAAACATTTACTGAATTTTAGAAAAAAACCTATAAAATGTGTACTAACATTAATCAAATATAAAACTAATTCTATCCAACTTTTAATACTACTTACTAATACTAGTAAAAATAAACTTAAATCTATTTAGTTTTTATTTAAATATTATTTGATAAAATTAATCCAAATAGGAATATAATAATAAAATCCAAGAGTTGATCTTATCTATCTTTTCTTTGAAAATTTAGCTTATAACGTTATAACGTTACATAAAGCCAATCTTAATGTTTTTCTGTGACCAATCTTAACTTTGCTGATCCTAGAAAAAAATGTATTTGATTTAGCACTTAAACGATAATGTTAATTTTAATTTGATGATATTAATCATTTGCGAAATGTACATAATTATTATAAAAAACTTAAATTTGTCAGTTTTTTTTCTTGATTTATTCTATTTTAGATTAAACTAATTCATTTTGGATAAATTTTGTCTTTTCTTAAATTAATAAATGGATTTGATTTACTTTATCATAACATTTCTTTCCGTGTACTCTTATAATGTAATAAACACATATTTAAGTATATGTGCGATGTTGCCAAATTTGTTCCAACTTAAATCAATGGATATGCGTAAATCAGTTGATATAAATGAATTAACGTTTCTGCATGTATGGGTTGGGGAAAATTAGCTTCAAAGATTACCTTGATGAAGTATACATGAAAAATGCAATTTTTTTGCATTTTCAAAAAATTTCAAAATTTATTTAACTTTTTTCGTTACAGCTGCATCTTCACCAGGCCAGCTACGACATGAATGAATTTTTCGAGAAGCACGCCCCTGAGTATTGCATGCCCGCCGATTACAGGGGCTCGTTGCCCCCCATGAATGTCCTATGCAAAACGACAATAGACAAATTTGTCAAGCTGAGGCATTTTTTCGATGAGGAAGAAAGGCAGGCCAGGCAGTTCCAAAAATAATGCGTATTTCAGTTTTAAGTTAGTTTTTATGGATGTAAAATTTACAATGTAAATGTTGTGTAATGTTGAATTGAGAAATAGATATTTTAAAGTGATATAATAGTTTTTTTTCAAACGTAAGTAAAATGGCACCGTTTTTACATTTTGCGGAATGTTTAAGTTTTACAAAAACACTTCCTTAGGCTGACGCATGTAAACCAAATATTTTCTTTATATTGGTTAAAGAATACCACAAACATGTATGTGGGCAGTGGACATACATAATATGTATTACATATACAGTGTGGAACTCACTATGGAATAAAATTCGTTATTCGTTGAGAAAAGATTTTTATGAAAAACGCTCGGACACGTAAACTTAAGTTTTTTATTCCAAATCTTATAATGATAATTTTAAATTTGATGCCCCACCATTTCCCCCCCCCCGCACATTAGGCACCCTTATCTTAAATAACAACCCCACTTTTTTCATCGAAAATTGATAGTGCACATTTTTTTGAGTACGACGATACCACATAAGTAGGGTTTAGTAACCATAATTTTCAATACAGGGTGAATATTTAAAAATTACAAGTATGAATTTTTTATTGTTATTCTATAATTTAGTTTCTTGTGTTGTGGCTTTCGCTATTTAGATATTCAAGTTTTTTCGCTTTGTTATTGTTTTTTGTTAATGCCATTTTTTGCGTTTGTCCTTTTTGCATTGTTTACATTTTTTGCATTGTTTAAATTTTTATTTTTAATGAAACATTATGCGCTTTATTTATTGAAGTATTTTGTTAGATCCAAGTATCAGTTAATATTTTAGTTAAAAAATGGGACACTTGACAGAAACTCTGCGAATAGAAATATTAATGATGATTGGTTACGGTGATATGTGCAGATCACAACAGCAAGTTGCCTTTAAATGGAAAATACCCAGATTTACCACCACTTTCTCAGGCAACTGTGTCTAAAATACATGCACAATTTCGTGAATATGGACACGTTAAACCATTACGCAGGACGCCTCATTTTATTGATGAAAAAGTTAATATTTTATTGGCTTTTCAAGAAGATTCAACAACTTCTACGCGTCAGGTTGCACGTGAAAACGACGTTAGTCATTCGACCGTTTTAAGATGTGTAAAAGCCGAAAAAATGCATCCATATAAACTACAACACGTACAAAAATTGATTGATGGTGATTCTGATAGAAGATTACAATTTTGCGAGCAAATGCTGCATATGTTAAACAGGAATGTTATTTCTTCTGCAGATATTCTTTTTTCTGATGAATCAACATTTCTATTAAATGGCTAGGTAAATAGACAAAATTGCAGGTACTGGGCAGAAGAAAATCCCCACTGGATGCAACAAAGTCATACCCAACGTCCTCAGAAAATCAACGTTTGGGCTGGTATTGTTGGTGATCATGTGGTGGGATCTATTTTCATTGAAAATCTTAACGGGGCAAGATATCTGGATATGCTAAGAGAACAAGTTGTCCCAAATCCATTGGAACCTAATCTTCCCAATGAAAGGATATGGCTTCAACAAGACGGTGCCCCACCCCACTATGCTCTTCCTGTACGGAATTATTTAAATGACACCTTTCCATACAGGTGGATCGGAAGAAGAGGTTTTATAGAATGGCGAGCAAGATCACCGGATCTAACACCTCTAGACTTTTTTCTATGGGGATATCTAAAAAATAGGGTGTTTAAAACACAACCTGCTAATTTAGATGAATTAAGAAACAGAATTACTGAAGAAATTAGGAACATAACACCGGAGGTTTTAAACAGAGTGCGGGAACAATTTCACAGTAGATTACTAAAGTGTCAGGAAGTGGACGGGGGACATTTTGAACATTTATAAGATTGAAGAACAGTTTATTTTTGAATTTTTAATTAATTTTAAAATAAAAAGTTTAGTTTTTTAATTTGTCATTATATTTTCACCCTGTATTGAAAACTGTTTACTAAACCCTACTTATGTGGTATCGTCGTACTCAAAAAAATGTGCAATATCAATTTTCGATGAAAAAAAGTGGGGTTGTTATAAGGGTGCCTAATGTGCATGGGGAAAATGGTGGGGGCATCAAATTTAAAATTATCATTATAAGATTTGGAATAAAAAACTAAAGTTTACTTGTCCGAGCGTTTTTCATAAAAATCTTTCCTCAACGAATAACGAATTTTATTTTATAAGTGAGTTCCACACTGTATATATATAGATTATTATTTCATTATCTATAGATGTATATATATATATATGTATATATATATATATATATATAAGTCCACTGCCCACATACATTTTTGTGGTTATATTTTAACCAATATAAAGAAAATATTTGGTTTACATGAGTCAGCTTAAGGAAGTATTTTTGTTGCCAACGCACATGCGTCAATTTATTTTTTATATAAAAAGCCCGAGTATGCTTTAACATCATATTCAGTATCTATAATAAGAATATAATAAAAGTTACAATGAAAGTAACAATTTTAGTGAGTTGTGCTGTTATATGCTTTTCTTCAGTTGCGTTTAGTTCTTCAGTTGATAAATCCTTGGTGAGTTTTTATTTTTTTAAATTCTTTTTACTAATATTTATTTTAAAATAAAAAAAATTATTTTAGATTTTTTTACAAAAATATGGGTACTTAGATGGTACGCCAACTAGGTCAAACAAATTTTCTAGACTTAAGAGGGAAAACAATTACAGCGAAGCATTGAAACGCTTTCAAAGGCTCTATGGGCTAAATCCAACAGGTATTTTTAGTTTATTAAAAAACTGTTTTTTTTTATTTTTTAACAATCCACACCTATCGACATCATTCAATTAAAAACCACCCTTAATAACTTTTGAGTTAGGTATAGCAAATTCGAGAATGTGATATTAATAAAAAAATATCTGCGTAAATTCTTGAATTATTCTTTTTGAATATCTTCAGTTGGTGTTTTGTAGACTTGAGTTTTTAAATGACCCCCAAAAAATCAAATCAAGCCTGTATAATAAATTAACCATTGTTTTAGATTTTACCTACTAAAAACCGTTATTTTTAGGAATTGCAGATAAAGAAACTCTTCTAGCAATGGATTTGCCACGGTGTGGGGTAAAAGACCCCAATACAAGTAAACAAACAATACAGAAAAGAAATGCTGTTTTGAACAGTGAGTATTTACTATTTTTATAATTTGTTAAATAAATAAATAAACACGGTATTTTAGAACCATTGTGGAAAAAACGAGATCTAACCTACACAATTTCACAATATTCCCATCATTTAAACAGAAGCTTAGTAGAACATGAAATAGAAAGGGCTTTCGCGGAATGGTCAAAGTACACTGATTTTACTTTTACAAATTCAAAAAGTCAAAATGCCGATATAGATATTAGATTTGAAAGAGATCATGTTTATGGGGATAGTTTTTATGGAGATAATAGTCTTATTGCTTACACTCAAGTAAGTTTATATTTAGATAGCAAGATAGGACAATTAACATTAATTCATTCAATATAGGACAAAAAAGTTCGCACGTTACTTTGGTGGTAAGATTTTTGTTTTTTGTTAAGAGCAGGGCTGTGTTTAAATTACAATAAAAAATATGTCTAAAAATTGTACAGATCAGTGTGTGGTATAAATGTGTTCCTCATGGTTTAAACATTGTAACTTTAATGCGTTTATATTTTTATTCTGAAAACAAATAGTAAAATGGCCAGTGTCCAATTACTGGTTGGTAAAATATGTAAATTTATATTATTGGACTATGTCCAATTTCATACTCTATTTATATCCCGGACATTTACCAGCCAATTCTTATGTAAAACTATCCCCTGTATCCGAAAAGACCGTCAAAAACTATAAAATTAAGCAGTTTTTGAGATATAGGCAATTCCATATTATAAGTAAAATTGATTATATTTCAAAAACTGTTCTACTTTTATAACTTTTGACGGTATTTTCAGATTCAGCGAATAATATTTCGAGGAATTGACTGCTAAATGTCCTGGATACAATATGCTGTTGACGAGAATTATTAGTGGCTGCTTTTTCGCTATGACATTTTTGACTAATTCATTTTTAGAGATTAAGTAATATACTGATTTTTTCGTCACAGGACATCTTGCAGAATAACAGTGATTTAAATACAGTGCATGATAGAGAAAATAAAAAACTAATGGCAACAAAATTAATAAATTCGGAAAATACTTTTAACATACCACCCGAAAAAATATCAGATGTATATAAATCATCCTGTTCCTGCCTAAACATTATAAATGCTTCACAAACCAGAGATACCACACTTAATGATATTTGCAACAAACTATTTCAGAAGTCCAAGAAAGAAAGAAATATATGAATTATATGATATTTACAAAAACGAAATAAAAAAAAATTACCTAAAAGAGCAATTTATAAATATATAGAATTATAGATATATCTTTAAAAAATATTTAACAATTTATGTTGTTATGTTTATATAAACATTGTAGGTCCAATAACTATTGTCCATGTGTCCAATAACTATAGAAAATGTCCAATTACTATACTTTTTTGAATGTTCTTATAAAACTATTACTAAAAATTAAAATATTCTTATTTTTAAGTAAAAGTAAATAAAGTTTAAACTTTCAGGTAAATAAGGATGGTATGAGGTTGATTCATTTTAATGATGAAAAAAAATGGAATTTTAATGGTAAAAGCGACAGTTTGTTTTGGACGGCTTTGCACGAAATCGGTCACATCCTTGGACTTGATCACACCAATGTGATTGGATCAGTGATGTGGCCCACATCGTGTTTATCATTTTCTGAATTGCAAAGCTACGATATCCAAGCGATACAAGAACTGTACGGCTTGAAAAAAACCCACGGATAAAATTTAAACTTAAAACAATTTTGTACGGGTGTCGCGACAGATTAAAAAATAATTTTCTTAACAAAAATTTTGATAAATATTCAGATGAATCTTATTTTAATGCTTGATAACATATTTTTCCTGTAAATTTAGGCAAATTTTGTTTCTAATAAACTATTTAATAGACTAAAATGTTTTTCTTTTATTTAGTGGCATAAATGTTATATCATCATCTTACTAGGGTGATTCAAAAAAAACCTTATTTTTGTTTTTTTTCTCGGAACCACGCTCAAAAGTTTCGTATAGATATAAAAATGAGCCTGTGAAAAAATGAGCTCTTAATTTCAAAATTATGATGCTCCGCATCGCACTTTTAGATTTTCCATAAGAATAACATAAGAAATTTTTTTTTTATTTTTGTAAGTAACTAACGAACGATAGGTCTAACTGTAAAGTTCTTGACATATTTTTGTAGAGAACTGAACGCTCTACAAAAAAGGTTTCTTATGATTTTTTAATAAGTTTGATCCTTCTAAAGAAATTTAAGGTCAAAGTTCAAATTATACGAAATTTTTGTTTTTTTTTAACTTTTTTGGCGAGTCTACCCGACTCATTTAAAAATTTTTGAAATATTTTTGTAGAAAATTAAACGCTCTACAAAAAAGGTATAGAATTATTTTTCGGTAAGTTAACTTGGTTAAAAGTTATTCAAGGTTAAAGTAAAATTAACCTTCAATTTAATCGTTTTCTCGAAAAAACTCCCGTATTTTTGAGTTCAAAGGGATAAAAACGAATCGAAATATTGTTTCTGAGCTCTGGAAATTCGGAAAAACATAACTATCGATATAACGATCTCGAAAAGCTCCGTAAATAGCTTGCAGGGTTATTATTTTTTTTAGAAGATGACGTTTTAACATGGATCAGTAATGATACTTGGGTAATTTTCAAGAAACACCCGCTTTCTGGAAAATGAAGATCAAATTTTTTTTTTGCTTAAATTGACTTTTGGTTTAATTTTTATAAATGTTTAGAGTTTTGTTTACTTACATTTAAGACAGGCAGTGCACTTTTTAATTTTTTTTACGTTTTTTTCAGAAAAATGTGTTTAGCTAGCTTTATATATCTCCACTGTGTTACCAATTTGAAATCCAAAATTTAATTCAATAAAAAAAGTTGTTATAAAAATAATTTGAAATAAAATGTACTTAGTTCATGAACTAACAAACTTTTAACTCCAATTTTTTATTTTATTTTTTATTAAAAATTGTATGCTTTTTTAATATTTATGTTCGTTATGTTACTTTTTAAAAGAAACCATTCCGATTCTTTGTTAAAAAAACAATACCATTAATATTTTCTTTTATTGTATAAAAATCATTTTAATTATTTTTTTTACAAAAAAAAAGTAACAAAATAGACATTGGTATCACAACGGACTGGGGTACACAAATGACTTAATCAGATAACGTAAAAAAGAAACTATAGGGTGGTACGATTTTAGAATAATGCATAAACAAAATCCCTTGTAGTGGTGCTCACTTGCAGAATAACAACTTAAATTTCTAAATTGTAGACACCCTTTTTCTTTGACTATAAGCTGGTGAAGGTCCCTTTTAGTACTTGTATATTGAAGAGTATTTTTTTTCAGTGTGGTCATCACACTATTAGCGCTATCCCAAAGAAAACTACCATATTAAATTGTCTTTAATTATAGTTTATTTATTTAAGTTATAAGAGGAAATAAAATACTAATAAAAAGAAGGGAAATTGTTTACGTTATTTATAGTTTAATAAATAATAAACATATTTTATTTTAATAATAATCAATTACTAATTACTTAAGTAATTAGTAATTGATTATTATAGAAAAAAACATTGGATAATTGATCAGGTATTATCCATACATATTCATCCGAAGACTCTTTGGTAAATGTATCTATTATTTGGAATATTAAACACATACGGAAATGGAAACATATTGGGAGTAAGATTGGGTTTATTAATTATTCTCCAACCAGTTCTTGTTTTCGTACCATACAGTTTCTGTATCACTTGAATATCGTCTCTTTGCAATTTGGTAAGGGAATTACCCGTTGTCACTGATCCAGGCACATTGGTGTGGTCGAGTCCAAGTACGTGACCGATTTCGTGCAAAGCCGTTTCGAAGAAGCTTTGGCCGTCACCATTAAAACTCCACTTTTCCTCCACGTCAAAATGAATTATTCCACCATAGTGAATCTATATAATTATAATACTATGATAGTTCGAATTACTTACATTGAGTACACCCACCTATATTACCTAATTTTGGGCTGCTGATTTCAAAAATGCCACTCGTTTTGCTCCAGGACGTCTAGGATTCGAAATAATTGCGTAATAAAATGCTCTGCCCAATTATTTGTTTTTTGTTAATATTTTGATTTTTTATTAATTATTTTGCCTTAAATCTATTTTGGATGTTCTGTATATTTTTGACTTTTTTTGTCAAAAATATACAAGGACTCCTTACAAAGTCATCGGTAGATAAATGCAAAGATATTATATGTATTATATGTATTATCTTTGGCACAAACACTTAAATGAAATTTCCACCAACTTCAACAAAATTTCTTTGTTATTTTTAAAGGCTTTAAGACCTAATTTCGTTTAATTTTGTTTTTTATAGCTTCTACTACAAATTTAATAATAACAGAACACATTGCAAACTGCGAACATAAACCAATTGTGGATAAAACCGATTGCCGCAATTCTTTTCGAACCAAGTTTTTGCCAATAATAAGGTTTTATCAGATTTATAAATGTATTTGGGTGATTCTACAAAAGTTGGGCAACTTTTGACCTCATTTTGTTTATACAGTTTTCGGAGAAAATTAAACAGTATTTTGTTATGAGAACATAGATAAAATAATAAATATACTGTTCCAGACCGGGCCAGTCACTTTTTCAAACAGTTTCTGAAATATCTGAGTTTTCTAAATTTGAAGGGAAGTGACGAGTATACCAGGGTACTAATTAAATACATAATTTATTGAAAAATATAAGATTTATTGCAACTTTGAGCATATGATACATTAAATATCTTAAAATTAAATAATACCACACATCAGTGGATTTTGGGTATTCCGATATCTAAATTATTAGATATGGGACCCACACCAAATTTATATGAGTTTATAATGACATTAAATAAACAAGTTCTGCGCAAGCAGAATTTAAATTGAAGTTTCGAAAAAAAGATAACCGAAACATCGAACAAGGAACTGACGACACGGTACTGATGAATGGGATACAAATTTGAGATTATAATTCGGAATTAAGTATTTTACTGATATTTTTTATTAGTGGATGCTACTTATCAACAAATCACATATAGCCTTACATAAATTACAGCGAAATAAATATATACGTAAGAAAACAATTACTCACCACAGTACTGAAATTTTAACTGGAACTATACGTGCATTCACGACAACTTCACCGCTTGCATTGTTTTCAAGATGACTGTCGTGCAAAGGGCGGGCCCTGTGGGTAATTTTTTACCAACACTTGAGTTAAAACGAGGACTTGACGTTTAAACTTCGATATTTCGCAGGAATTTTGAATTTTAACATTGGACACAGAACTGACGGGTAAAAGTGAGTACAAAGATTATCAATTTTTTTAAAATTGCTATTATTCGAATCTATGATAAAATATGAAAAATGCATGATTTAATGTTTTATAGTTTGTGGTGAAATTGAAAAATTTAAGATAAATTGAATATATTTTAAAATAAAATCACTCAAATATTTGATTCAGGAGTTGTGACACGTACTGATGTTTTGAATATTTATTATGTTTTTCTACAAACGTGCTTTTGAAAAAATACCTTAAAATTGGGTGGACAAGTTAAAAAAACTTGGATCTTTTGTAGTATATAAAAATATTTACAAAAAATATTAAAATACCTACTCTATTGACTGATGAGATCAAGTTGTCCAACTTTTGAAGAATCACCCATTTATGTGTTTATTTAATAATACATTTTAAAAATGTATTACTCTTAAAATGTAATGAGCACATATTTAAGTATATGTGAGATAACCTACAAATTCTCTGTCATTTAAAATTTGCGATGTTGCTAAATTGTTTTCAACTTAAATCAGTGGATATGCGTAAATCAGTTGATATAAATGAATTAACGTTTCTGCATGTATGTGTTGGGGAAAATTAGCTTCAAAGATTACCTTGATGAAGTATACATGAAAAATGCTTTTTTTTGCATTTTCAAAAAATTTCAAAATTTATTTAACTTTTTTCGTTACAGCTGCATCTTCACCAGGCCAGCTACGATATGAATGAATTTTTCGAGAAGCACGCCCCTGAGTATTGCATGCCCGCCGATTACAGGGGCTCGTTGCCCCCCATGAATGTCCTATGCAAAACGACAATAGACAAATTTGTCAAGCTGAGGCATTTTTTCGATGAGGAAGAAAGGCAGGCCAGGCAGTTCCAAAAGTAATGCGTATTTCAGTTTTAAGTTAGTTTTTATGGATGTAAAATTTACAATGTAAATGTTGTGTAATGTTGAATTGAGAAATAGATATTTTAAAGTGATATAATAGTTTTTTTTCAAACGTAAGTAAAATGGCACCGTTTTTACATTTAGCGGAATGTTAAAGTTTTACAAAAACACTTCCTTAGGCTGACGCATGTAAACCAAATATTTTCTTTATATTGGTTAAAAAATACCACAAACATGTATGTGGGCAGTGGACATTCATATATATATATACAGTGTGGAACTCACTTATGGAATAAAATTCGTTATTCGTTGAGAAAAGATTTTTATGAAAAACGCTCGGACACGTAAACTTTAGTTTTTTATTCCAAATCTTATAATGATAATTTTAAATTTGATGCCCCCACCATTCCCCCCCCCGCACATTAGGCACCCTTATCTTAAATAACAACCCCACTTTTTTTCATCGAAAATTGATAGTGCACATTTTTTTGAGTATGACGATACCATATAAGTAGGGTTTAGTAAACAGTTTTCAATACAGGGTGGAAATATAATGACAAATTAAAAAACTAAACTTTTTATTTTAAAATTAATTAAAAATTCAAAAATAAACTATTTATTTTATTCCATAAGTGAGTTCCACACTGTATATATATAGATTATTATTTCAGTATCTATGTATA